TTCAGTCCTTCGCTCTGCGCTTCAATTTCCCAATGTTTCTAAATACTAAGTTGGAGCAAATTCTCTCCAAGATCCCTTCCAACAGTGACAGTCCACACATCGGAGGCTATTATAAAAACAAGCTGTCATTATTCTATTTTCTCTTCTTGTTCTGCTGGAGAATGAGAAAAAGAAAGGTAGGATTTGTCTGTGACAAGCTAGCAGAACTGGATCAAGCTCTGTGCTTCTGACTCACTGTGCGCAGGCTGTCCTGAGCACTGGACGCGGAGCTCGTCAAGAGCAGGCCTACAGCACCCGGTGAGCAAGCGCTCCGAAGCTGAAAGTGGTTTCATGAACTTCCTTCCAAATCTGGACGTTCCACTTAGCGTGGAAAATGCCAACTCAGTCTTCTCACTGTGGGAACAGATTCAAAAGGCAGAGAGACGTCGCACAGAGACAGGAGCGAAGCCCTCCAGCTTGCAGACGACACACGTGACGCGCAGGAGAGGACCACAACTTCACCGTGATCTGCTCACTGAGATTACAGCCCTGGTTCTCTGACTCAGGCTGGCAATCTCTTTCACAGAATCACATCATCTCCTTGGCAGGAGGAAAGATTATTGAACAAAGTAAGTCTCTGAACTTGAAATTTAGTACCTGAGTTTGAGCGGTGACTGCTCTGCCTTCTAATTCCCTGTCCTTCATCAAGCGCTGAAAGTAAAAACAAATGCACAAACTGTGTGAAACTGCCCAGTAGCCAAATCCAGCACTCGGTGAGTGTTCATGATAAATGGTTCGCAAGGCTGAACCCTGCAGGGAAATGGAGGAAGATCTGTGTGAAGTAATTCATGCAAACATATCTTATAAAATGTGAATGATTTAGGAGTAGAAAAAATTATTATGCTTTTTAGTAGTAAAACAATGACCTTTTTAGATAAGATTGAAATGGATGAGAGAAGTCATTGCTTTTCATTTTGTGGGTGATTTGCAGCAATGTGTATGCTCTTAAATTACAAATGTGTGCACCCCTGCCTCTGGACTGGGAGCCCCGACATGAGCATGCGTCCCGACTGGGAAACAAATCCATTCTGTGTGGGCCAGCAGGAAAGACACAGCACACAGCAAATGCACTAAAGCAAATCGCCTACGTGTCGGCCATCGCCCACTGAATGAACCCAGCTGAGCTGTTCCAGCTCCAGGAATAATTTAAGATGCCCTTGAAATGAAAAGAAACTCTGCTTAAACTACTGCTAAATATTTTATGGAAACCAAACTAAAATACATTGGTGCTACGGTGAAGTCTTATTTCCTTAAAGCTTCTAAAAAAAAAAAAAAATCTGTGAAAAGTATTTGTTAACCTCTCACAAGATGTTGAGGGAGGGTAGCAGAGAAAACTAACACTACGGATGCCTGAAGCAGTCTGCTACCCACCTGATACAGTGTCTTGTTTCATTTCTCCCTTAATCCTATTCTATCCACGTCCCTCCAAGGTTGCCTAATTTCCCTGGTTATCTGGCTTCAAATGCAAGTTCATCTTGCCTTACATATGATCAACCCAGTAGAAAACTCGCAGCCGCACACGTCCTGGAGGATACACCTTCTCACAAGTCGGGTCTAAAAGAAGAGCTCCAACTGCAGAACACTCCTTGGGAACATCAGAGTCAATTCTGGATAATTGGATTTTTTTTTTTTTTTGTCTTTCTCAACAAAAAAGAAAAAGATAACACCTTCTGTGTGAAAAACTTTAAAATTTCTCTTATAGATAGTATAGCTAAAATTTAAATCCAAATTTCCTCATTCCATATCCAAAGAAGACCCTGTCTCAAGAAAATATGAACCAAAGTTTAGGCACCTAAAAGATAACATAGTATTTTTGTATTAGTCTGGGCTGATAAAACAAAATGTTGTGGAATGCATAGCTTGTATACAACAGAAATGTATTTTTCACAGTTCTGAATACGAGGAGTCCATGATAAAAATTTTGTGAGTTCCATCATCTAAGAAGGGATTTGTGTGTGTGTGTGTGTGTGTGTGTGTGTGTGTGTGTGTATTTTAGTATAGGGTCTCACTACACAGATTGGACTCAGTGATTCTCCTGTTTGCAGCCTCCCAAGAGCTGGGATTATAGGCGCACGCCACCACGCCCAGTCTCAGTCACTCTCTCAGCATGCCCTGGGGGCAGAGCTGGCAAGGCACACCAGGGATTGAACCTGGTCCCTGCATCTGCCTAAGAAGGCGCTTTAATCCACTTTTTTTGTTTGTTTGTTTGTTTGTTTGTTTTTGCTACCAGGGATTGAACCCAGGACCTTGCACTTGCCAGGCAGGCACTGAAGCCACTGAGCTATCTCCCCAGTCCAGAAGGGCCATTCTCTGTTTCCCAAATGATGAAGCTTTGTCCCTGCAGTCTCCTGTAGGGGAAGGAGCAGGCCAGCTCTCTGGGATTTATGAACATACTGACTCCATTCATGACAATTCCTCCTTCATGATTTACTCACCCTTTGTTGCGGCTTTTATCCAAACATCCCCCAAAGGCTCACACATAGAGAAGTGAGGCTTTCGGAGGTAAAGAGATGGGTAAGTGGATCAGTGGATTAGTGCACTGAGGAGTGTGTGGCCAGATACCATGTTAGGACCCGGGTCTGGCCAGGAATGTGTAACTGGAGCATGACCAGAAGGATCCCTCTCCACCCTCACCCCTCTCACCTCTCTTCCTGGCTACCATAAAGTGAGCAGCTTTTCCTCCATCAGACCTTCTGTCATGCTACCCATCATGGTGTCAGCTGACTGTGGACTGAAACACTTCCCGGAATGAACCTCTCCTTGCTCGTGTTATAAGGGGTATTTGATTCTAATAATGAGGAAAGTAACAAAAACCCCACGTCCTAATGCTATCTCCTTGGGTGTTAGAATTTCAGCACGTGAATGCTGGTGGGGCACACATAGCACCTGTGAAAACAGAAACCCCCTTACTCACTGAGCAAATTCCCAGTGGACCAAATAACCCCAACAGCACCATCTCCAGGAGAGACCTCACAGAAGGTGGCGTCACGAGGAGGAAAGCAACAAACAAGGAAGTCACAGAAGGATTTTCTCTTTAATCTAGTAGTAACACTCTTGGAAGTGGGTAAAATGAGTAGGAGAAGGGCCAACCAGATGGCTCAGTGGACTAAGTGCCTGCTTAGGCAAGAGCAGGGACTGGAGTTCAATTCCTGACACCACATGCTGTGCCAGCCCACCCCTGGGCATAATAAGCCAGCCACCCAGATCAGGCATGATGGTTCATGCCTGTAATCCCCGTGCTGGGGAGGTGGAAACAGGAGGATCACTTTAAGTCCCAGCTGCATAGTGAGACCCATTACCAAAGAAAAAGAGAGAGAGAGAGAGAGAGAGAGAGAGAGAGAGAGAGAGAGAGAGAGAGAGAGGAAATTTCTAAGAAAAAAGCTAAATAACCAAAATGTTTATCACATTGCCATTTAAATAGACATACATGGAAGATAACCTATGAACTCAACTGTGGGGGAATTTTTAAATCAACTGTGATTCACCAGCCATATTTTAGCTTTCAAAGTGTATTTCCAAATATTAGGTAGATAGTTGATGCTAAAAGTTCAAAATATAATAAATTAAAAAAGAAAAAACTACCATACCATGCAAAAAGAACATCTGAGTATAAGCAAAATGTTAACATTAAAATGACAACTATTAATGTGTAAGGGTGACAAGATTATAGATTTTTTTTTTATTTCTAGGATATTTATTTTAACTCACTTTATGTGGAGCTCCGCATTGCTCCAGACCGACTTTCTTGCATCCAAAGAACAGAAGACAACAGCACATGTACATCTTGGGGTAATAGGGACTTTTTTATCCACCCCATGCAGATTCTTTCATTGATCTTTGTCATCCATTTCAGTGCTGCCTAAATTTGCAGACCTCCTTTCTTTCAAACTAATGTAGACAACCGAGGCTTGAGTTAAATTGGCACGAGCTCGGCAGCTGGGCATGCCAGCACTTGGGGGCTTGATTAATACCTAAGCTGGCAGGGGAAGCTGAGAGCTTGGAGGACAAGGCCTCTTCTGCTTTGAATGTCCACAGAAGGACAGAGACAACACTGGGCTCAGGACAAGTGCTCCGGAGTCTATGCTGCCCTCATTCTGGGATGCCCAATCAGAGGGAACTGAAGAACTCCTTTTGGCAGAACAAGCCTCACTCAGCCTCACCCAGATCCCAGGGCTATGGAACGACACTGCAGCTTCAAGAGGCAAACACACGCTGGGCAGAGTGAGATGCTAGGGCACCCAGGGCAGGAATAGCTTTCAGATATTTCAAAAATAGCACACTCAGCCATTTACTTGATGCTGTCAGTATGCCGAGCACTATGATTGGCATTTTGCATGTATCATTTATCCATTTATGCTAAAAATGTGTTAAACATTCTCCTACTGTATAGCAAATGCTGATACACGCTAAGCACAAGGAAAGCATCAGAGGACAGAAAAATTCTCTGATCAGGAGGAACTCACATCATTGTGGGACAAGACAAACAACAAATACAAATACAGCATTATATTCTAGGAGACAATGAGAAACGTTGAGGTGGGTTGGAGTAAACACGGTCCTGAGTAAGGGATGCTATTTTGGTTCCTTTTCTCTCATTGCTGGCTCAAAATACCTGACATCCAAAATGAAGGAAGGAATGATTTATTTAGCTCCCAGTTAGTGGAGCTTTCGGTCCATACTCAGCTGGCTACAAGGCAAAGCAGCAATGGCAGAGGGCAGCAGTGCATGACAGCACAAAACAGCAAGAGCAAAAGAGAGGAGCAGCAGTAGAGGACAAGCCTCTCTCCCTCCCTTACATTACACACAGGTCGCCCCCCAGGACAGGTGGAGCACTCACACCGTAATCCCAGCATTGGACCACGAGTCAATCAAAAACTCTAGAATTAAGGCCCGGGAGATAGTTCAGTAGAATAAGCACCTGCCTAGCAAGCACAGGGTCCTGAGTTCAATCCTTGATACTGAAAAACAAAGCCTCTGCCACAACTGAATAAGGCTTTAGGGGACATCTAGACACAAACCATAGCAGATGGGGACGCAGGAACTGTAAACAGGATGCCTGGGAGACAGTCTAGCTAAGTCTTGGAGGGGTAGGAAGTTGGTATTGCATGCCCCTGGGGCAGAGAGAGAAAATCCACAGCAAAGAACTAAAGGTTGGGATCTGTTTAACACCTTTGGGATAAAGTACCAAAGAGACAGTGGTCACATAAATAACAGAATCTGACTTTGCCAATCCTTGTGCAGGACCACTATAAACACTTTGGGTTTTATTCTCCAAAAAGAGGGAGCCTTTGGCGGCTTTGGTCAGAGCAGTGATAAGACCTGTGTTCACCTTGATGCACTCTAGTTAACGAGCTGAAAAGAAATACAATGAGCAAGAGTGGAACTAAGAAAACACGGCAGCGGGGCTTGCACCACCACCGTGGAGCAGCTGCGGAGCAACGGCTGGATCCTGTTTATTTGGAACGTGAAGGCAGTGGAAATCGCCGGTGGTTTGAGCATGAAAAGAGAAAGGAAGGAGTTAGGAAGGCTTGCGAATCTTCTTGCCGGAGAAGTTGGGACTGAGTCGCCGCCACCTGACGCAGGGAACACTGGGAACGGAGGGCAGTGACACTGCTCAGAGCGAGCCATGAAATCGGAAATGCTATCTGCATTTTAAGGCTGGAGAGACTGTTGTGGCTGCGTCTCTTGCTCAAAACCATACAAATGCTCGGTTGTCCAGCAGGTTTTAAGTCGTGGTCTGTCAGATCCCAAAGTGCACGAGATTCCGAAATTCAAGCCCTGCAAACACTGCCCTCTTCTGTTTTGTGAATGAACTACAGGCGCACCTAAGTTGCTGTTAGTAGCTGTCCAGCAAGAACCCGTGTGAGCATATGAATATTTCGTTAAGAGTAGCAGCGAGGGAAGAGGGGTTCCTCGGATCGATCATGATGTGAATCGGATACTCAAGAGACTTGACTCTTGTTTATCATCTTGGCAGTGAGCGCCGTGATGTCACTTCTAGCGTAGTTCTCAGGATTACGCAAGAGTTGCATTCGGCTGCGCGGACCTCGACACACTGCCACAGTCGCCGCATACCCGCTCCCATCAGGGTCTCACAGGGTGCTTTTTTTGAGATAACGACTCGCTCTATGACTTTAAGCTGGCCTTAAAAGGGAACTTTCTTAAAATACAAATTCCAGAAGGAAAATTAGCAAAGATTTTCTTTGTTTCTATAAAGTGTCTCTTCAGTCCGCTAATTGTTTCCTTCACTACACTGAACTTTTTTACTTTGTTGTAATCCTATTTTTCTATTTTTGCATTTCTTTCCTATACTTCAAGGTATAGTTTTTAAAAAAAACATTCTGTACACCAATGCCTTGATGTGTTACTTGTACGTTTTCTTCTAGCAGTGTCATGGTTTCAGGTCTTGTATTTAGGGCCTTGATCCAATTCGAGGCGATTTGGGGGCAGGCTCCGAGTTGGGGGTCAAGTTTCAGTCTTCCCCAGGGCATCTCAGGTTCTCCTAGCGCCATACAGTGAAGGAGTTGCCCCTTCTCTACCTGGTGTTTTTGGAGACATTGCAGGAATCAATTTGCATTAAGTGTGAGCACCTATTTTGGGAGCCTCGACTCGGACGTCAGCCTACATATCACTTCCACACGAGTACTATGCCATTTGGGTGCTAAATCTTTATATTATGTCTTGAAAATGGATTTCCGATGCCTCCAGCTCTGAGGTTTAACATCCAAAATACAGAAGAAATTCAACACTGTAACGAAGAACAATCTGATTAAAATAGACAAATTATCTAAGTAGATAGATCTCCAAAGAAGAAAAGCAAATGGTCAACAAACATTTGAAAAATGTTTAATTAGGGAAAAGTAAATGAAAACTATAATGATCTTATCACATTTCTTTGGAATGGCTATTATTTATCAAAAAAGTAATAAGTGCTGTTTATAACACTGGAACAAGGGAACTTTCATATACTGTTAGTGGAAATTATAAAGAACAGGACAGAAGTGCTTTACGAACTGAAACTATATCATATGATCAAATATGCCGTGACTACTTAAATGGTTTAAAAAATCGATCTTAGCAAAAGACACATTGGAATTAATCCTCCCCAAAATATTCTTGCTCACTTCAGCGTGAGCGCACCAGCTGCGGTGGACAAGGACGCTGACCGACTCCAGGAACGCTGTGGCACTGGCACGAGAGCTGAGGCTCAAGGGGCCATTCTGCTGCCCATGAGCTGCCCCCGTGGCGACACCCCCGAGCGCCGCGATCCCACGGTTGCCTCCCCCCGCTCCAGGCGCCATCCTCTGAGCTCTGTCCAGCTCAGCTCCCCACTGTCTGCAGCCTGCACACGCCTGCACACCTGGACCCCGCGGGCTGGAGCCTGGACGCTCCGACTGAGAGCCACAGTCAGCCATTGCCCCGTGAAGCCCACTTCCACAGATATTGCCACAGCAGAGGGGAGCTGGGTGGTGCAGGTCCCCCTC